GGGGGGGGGGTGATTTCTCGCTTTCTTTCTCTCTCTCTCTCTCTCTCTTTCTCTCTCTCTGTTTTTTCTGGAGAGCACATGCGCCCTATAGCAAAAACCTCTCCCCACCCCACCCCCCCAAAAAAAATCAGGCTTATTTTAAACTCCTTCACCTCTTTTTTGAGAAGTTTAACATCGTGATTTATTCTGTTTTTAATAACAATTATCAAACCTACCACAGAAGTCTTACCATCAGGATTAAGGGTGGCAAACACAGTAGGGGTTCAGTAAACAGCAGCTTCATCCCACCTGTGCGAGTGGTGGAGCGACTAGACTGTTCCTGAAAGGGAACAAAATAGTGTGAACGGTGTTGTCTTTGTGGAGAAACGACAGTGCTAGGACAAGTTACTGCTCTCGCTGTGCCAGGGTGTCTCTGGCTCGCTCTGTTCCTTTAACACCTGAGAGACCCTCCTGCTTGCACCTCTGTGCCAGGCTCTGGGGGGTCATGGAAGGAAGGTGCCAGGCACTGCCCTGGGCCACTGACGAAACAGGTAAACTGATGACAGTCAGGGTGTTGAGCAAGGCCTGCAGCTGCAGTCAGTTCTGTGTCACTGCTGGTGGGAACGGAAGGCCAGGGAACTTGGGGGTCCTCCTGCCCCTCTGAAGCTCCTCCCAGGCCCAGCTGGTGGGGTGGCACAGAGGCTCCCACCCAGAGGCAGGCCGAGTTCAGTCCTGAACTCCCACAAGTGTGCACAGGTGTGCGGGGGCTTCTACTGTGCCCTTGGGGAGCTTGAGAGCCATGGGGGTGGGGGCGCGGGTGGGACCTAGATGCCAGATGCCCTGCAGGGAGGGCCAGTCTCCCGTGAAGCAGGCTCGTACAGACACCAGCAGCCTGGGCACACAGGCTTCCCCAAGGAGGGAAAGTGGGAGGATCTTAGCACTGGGGTAGCCCCCGCGCCTCCTGTCCCACTCCTGGCTGATCTAAGGAAGCAGAGGTGAGCTCCGAGAATGTGAGGGAATCCAGGGTGGTGGAGAAAGGCAGAGAGCGCCCCGGGTGGGAGAAGACCTCTGGAAACCTCTGATGGCCACCTGTCTTTTCCCTTCCCCCGACCCTCACACAGGAGCGCTTCTACTGGGAGGAATCCTCTACTCCTGGCAGTTTCCTCATTTCAACGCCCTGAGCTGGGGGCTCCGCGAGGACTACTCCCGGGGCGGCTACTGCATGATGTCGGTCACCCACCCGAGCCTGTGCCGGCGCGTGGGACACTGCCTGGCGCTGATCGGCCTGTCGGCTGTGGCCCCCGCCCTGTGTGTCACCACGTGGGCCTTCCCCGCCGTCTCCCTCCCCATCAACCTGTACATCTCCTACCTCGGCCTCCGCTTCTACCTGGACGCGGACCGGAAGAGCTCCCGGAAACTGTTCTTCTGCAGCCTGTGGCACCTGCCGCTGCTGCTGCTGCTCATGCTCACCTGCAAGCAGCACCCGGCGGGGCAGGACGACGAGGAGGCCCCACGGGGCTGAAGCCACACTTCTGGACTCGCAGGGAGGCACTTGGCTCGCGTCTCGACACCAGGAAGGGATATTTTGAAGAAAAATCTCCGGTTTTGTACAAGGTTGTAAAATGATTCGGTGCTCAGGGATCACCTGAATTTTTTTTTTTTGGGGGGTGGGGGTGGGGAGATTTCTGCTTGGGGTTTGTGCACTCACCAGTGAGACAGAGAGAGACAGAGACAGAAAGTGAGAAATCACCCACCAGGGTCCCCAGCCACGTCACAATCCCATCTCCATACTCAGGATTTGGGGCACACACGCACACAGACCTGGTGTGAGTTTCAAGTCACCAGGTCCAGGACTCAACCAGGTGGGAGTCCAGCGCCTTAACCACTATGCCACCTGCTGGCTCCCACAATTTTTTTTTTTTTCTTTAGTAATAGAATCCAGAATGCTGTCCAAATGAGAAATGGATGGGCTCAGTCGGTTAGCACAGGAGAGATTTTTCTCTTTGTGGGTCTTGACACTTCTCTTCCTCCAGACCCACCCCCATATTTCTTCTTCTGCCTGTGGATGTGGATGTACCCCCCCTTCTGATCCTTCCTTCCCACTGCACGCACACACGCACACACACACGCGTGCACACACACTCCCTGCCTGCCAGCCGGAGTGGCGGTTGGTGGCCCGGCAGGGTGAGCACCTGTGACCAGTGTGCCATTCTGCAGCCCCTGGTCCCTCCAGGGCCAGGTCAGAGGACACCGGGCTGCAGTGTACTCCCTTCCCCCGATGAGCCAGGGCCCGCCGCCGCCACCCCAGCTCTTCTCAGTCCCTCAAACGGTAAGGGACTAGGCAGGCTGGAGCGGGAGGGGCTCGCAGCGGTTGCCTAGGGATCTTGGACTGGACTGCTGGCCCTTGGCCCCGCCTCAGCCCCTTAAATATCCACACTTCAAAACCCCAAGGATTCAAAGGCATCTTTATAGTTCCCTTGAAAACCCAGGCACTGTCTAAGGCTTTTCTTTCTGGAAGGGTCGCGCTAAGACTTAATCCCAGAACCCCCCGCTCTGATCCCGTGACTGTACCTCTGCGGTCTGCCGGGAGCAGCGCTGTGGCTTTCTCCGGGCTGTGTGAGAAGGAACTCAGAAAAAGAGGGTGAGCAGGGCCAGTCAGCCCACGTCACTCCCATTCTTGTCCCTTCAGTGAAAAACACATTTCTGTCCCGTGGATTCAGAAAAATGAGCCACCACTCACCCGAAGGCTTTAAGAGCCAGCGGCGTGAGCTGAGCTCCTGGTGGGCATGTTTCCACTTCTGGAGTTCTGGGCGTCACCCTGCGGCCGGGTGTGGCCTCTGGGACCAGACAAGCCCGTCACCTGCAGCTCTTCAGCCTCGAGAGAACTCCCACAGTTCCGAGTCTCCTTTTGCCTAAAGGACTTGAAGCTTGATGGGACATTTCTATCACTCTGTCTCCAGGCTGGCTACCCTTGTAGGGACGCATTCAGGGGGGTTAGTGACATTCAGACCGTCCTTGCAGTAGGCCGGTCCCGCCATAACGTGTCTACGGTGATAGCAGCTAGCAGCATCTGGATCCCTTACTTACCTGAAATGTAACCTCTCGGCCCCGCCCAGGTCGTGTGCTGTGGGGAGCATGGCATGGGAGTGTCTGGGAAGAGCATCTACAATGTGTCGCCACCCTCACGTTTGTAAAACGCGCGCTCTTTCCTTCCTACAATAAAGCGGTGTACAAGAACACGAGTGTTCGATATCATTGAATCATGTGTGCTTGGTTCTGGTTCTGGTAGAATCGAGAACACTTCACTGGGAGCTAGCCGAGCATTACACAGCACGTGGGTATTTTTTTAAATTTTTTTTATTGTAAATTGACAAATAATAGCTATATATATTTATGGGGTACAAAGTGATGTTATGATTTATGAATACAATGTGGAATCATTAAATTAATATCCATCACCTCAACTACGTGTCATTTTTTGTGGTGAGACATTTGAAATTCACTCAGTAGGTTCTGAAATGTACAGTATATAAGGAGTCACTTTCACCATGCTGTGCACTATATCTCAAAGGAGGGGGACCCTGTTCCTCCTGAGTGATGCTTTGTACCCTTGGCTATGGTCTCCCCGTTTTCTCCACTCTCCCATCCTTGGATAGCTGCCATTGTCTCTGCTGCTTTGACTTCGTTTTAGATTCCACCCGTAAGTGAGAACGTGTGGGATTTGCCTGCCTGTGCCCGGCTTGTGTTTCAGTTACTGTAACGTTCCCCGACTCCCTCGACCTGGATGCAAATGACAAAATGTGTTTCTTTTTTAAGGCTGAGTAGTATTCCATTGTGTACACATACCACGTTTTCTGTATCTGGTCATTTATTGCTGGACACATAGCTTGATTCTGTACCTGGGCTATTGTGAATGATGCTGCAGTGACCGAGAGTGGAGCTAACTCTTGGTAAACATCCAGAAGTGGGGTTGCTGGATTGCGTGGTAATTCTGGTAAGGTTTTGAACAAACTGTGCTGTTCTCCATGGTGGCTGCACTGCTTTACGTTGTCTTCACATCCTCACCAACATTGACCTTTCATCTTTTGAATAATAGCCATTCTGACAGGTGTGAGGCGATAGCACATTGGGGTTTATATTTGCACTTCCCTAATGATTTTTTTCCCTATATCTGTTGGCTGTTTGTACATTTTACTTTCAGAAATGTCTGTTCAGGTACATGGGTATTTCATGTTTCAAGGTGGTATAAATGAACACCTTGGATTTTTTATTACATGTGTATCCAAAAGGATAATAAGCAAAGGGGCCCCCCGACCCCCACACCACCATCTGGCTTGAAATCATCCAGTCTTTTCCTGTTTCCTTAAAACCCATCCCCTGGGCCTGGCAGTAGCCGGATGGTTGAGATGACTAGATCCCACATGGCCAACTGCATGGTTCGAGTTCTAGACCCAGTGGCTTGAGAAACAGCCAGGCACATGTGCTTGGGTGCCCAAATCCCAAGAGGAGAATGAAGAAGGAATTGTGGCCTGGCTACTAGGGGATGCTTTCTCACTTTCCCTCTCTTTTGCTCTCTCACCAATGAGCATGTGCACCCTATAGCAAACAAAAAAGGTTTGATTGGGGTTTTTTTTATTATTATTATTTTAGAGATTTTTGCTATAGGGTGTGTGTACTTGCCAGAGAGACAGACAGAGACATAAATTGAGAAATCAGCCCCCGGGGCCTGACCATGCCACAGTCGCTTCTCCACTCTCCTCTCAGGATCTTGGGTCTGCACGCACATACACCCGGCATGAGTTTTAAGCCCTCGGGTCTGGGACTTGAACCGCAGTTGACTACGCAGGAGTCCAGCGATGTACTTGTTCCACCATCTGCTGGTCCCACAAAGAAAGGCTTTTTTAATCTCAATTTGAAGAAGAAGAAGAAAGGAAAAGCATTATTTGAAGCAAGATTTCATCTGGAGCTTGGCTGTCCTACTGTACTGCAAAGTAATTATAAGGAAGAGGAATATATTCAGTTCCCTAACCAACTTAAAAAGAAAAAAAAGGCATGGTTCTTAACACAGTTTTCCACACGACTCTGCAAACTGGAGTGACTTAATTTAGTCAATTGCCTGTCAGTTAAGGGGAAACCCAATTTCTCCAAAGGCTCCTTAGTTCACCTTCAGCTGTGAGTGGAATTTCAGTGCCTGTTCCTAGGATGGGCTCTAAAACTGGGATCTGTCTGGCCCAGTAGAAGCACCTTTTCCCTGGCACTTTATGCTTTGAGGGCCCAGCCACAGTGGCGCACCCTGCTAAGGTGCTGTGCTCTGCAGGCTGGGACCACATGGGAGGCTTGGGTTCAATTCCTGGCCTGACCTAAAGGTCAGATGTGCTGTGTGCTTACAGCCCCAGCAACCTATGAGGCTGAGGGCCATGCCACAGTGAGACCCTGTCAGCTGTGTGTGAGCACACACACGCACGTGTGTGTGTTCATGTTTGGAAGCCCCTAACCCGAGTTTGAGAAAAGTGAGGTTGTGAGAATCTGAGCTTTGCTTTGCAAGCCTGGGGTTGAATTCTCCTCTTGACAGTTTATTCCGTTTTCGTCAGTCCATCCTGCCCACCCAACCCCATCCCCAGTTGCTTTGCTAAGAAAATAGGTGGGACTCAGCAGTGCTCTGCCCCTGGCAATGGCGGGACAGCTGGGCTTGGCTCTGCTTGCTGAGGACGCTCACCCCCGAGTTAGGCTGGAATCTTGGTCTCAGTCCTCCGACACCCGCCTTCCCTCTTCCCCCCTTCTCCTTCCTATAACCACCCCACGCTCCAAGCAATAGGACAGCCGTGAGAATGGGGTCCCCCCGTAATTCTGTTCTGCCTGTAGAAGAAACACTTGAGAAGCATGTCTGGAGAACATTCGCTTGGGCCTTCTAATGGCACCCTCATGGTCACAGAGACCTCACCCGACTGGAATGAGGAACCGGCCTGGGATGTTGGTCTTGAGGCGAGAGAAAGCTAGCAAGTGGAAGATGGGTAAAGGGCCAGGGGCATCTGCCTTTGTGGCCAGATGGAAAAACCGCTCAGGGCAGGAAATTTCCTGCCCAAGGCAGGATAGAGCCAGTGGTGGGAGGGGCATTGAGCTGACTAAGCCACCTTTAATATAGCCAGTGAGGTAAATCAGCGGGCCCAACCAATACAACCTGGATTTAAAAACATGATCAGCCTCGCAGAATGCTTTGAGCCACTCTTACTCTGTCTGCTCAGGCCTGCTCCTCCCTCTCAGGAGTGTACTTTTGCTTTCACTTAATAAACTACCTTTTTCTTTCACTATTTGTGTGTTTTGTTCAATTCTCTGTCCAAAACACCAAGAACCTGGATGTCATCACAGAAGCCATCCTGCAACAGTGTGGGTCTTTAAAAGTAGAAGCCAGCTAGTGGGGACCACAAGCTCTTCATCTGCGGGGGCCACATTTTCCCTGTCTCCTGACATCAGTGGTGTCGACCAGTCAGGCAACCAGATCCAAAACAGATGGAAAACACAGCGTCCAGCAGTGGACGTGACCATGTGGCGTGCAACTTTTGGTCTTTTCCCACCAGCCGTTAAACTCTGTAAAATAGGTTTATAGCTACTGGCCTGCCTCCTCGAGTGGAAGTGAGAGGACTGCGTACCTGCTGAAAGCCAAGTGTAATTGACCCTAGGCGGATTACACAGTCTGGCCTCTCGGCTGTGATTTCTTAACCAACTGTAC